TGCTTATATGCTATTATTTTTCGAATGGGTGGAATATTGGATGCTAGTTTGTTTCTCACTTCACTTGTTATGTTTTTTTTGTGAGGAGAGGTTCCAATGTGTTGATTCTTTGAAGAACTTCATTTTTTCCTCATCAACCGTGGGGAAAAGAAGAAAGTTTCATATTTTGGCCATTTACATATAGGTGCATATGCTTATATGCTCTATTTCATTACGCTTTACCTATTGAGTATGACTGACAATGATGAACCAAATGTCTTCGAGGAGCCTTCAGAAATTGTGGTCGGGCATTCATTCCATAAGGATGAGATAGACTCCAATGAATTTGGAGTTCATGATGGTGAATGTTTTGGTCGAGATGATTGCTTTGAGGGAGTCAATGACAGATGTTATCTGTGGCTGCTGATCAACCAAGTTTTTTTAATAAGATTATAGGTTTATACTCATATGCATTCAAAATTTTTTTTATTATTCTTGATCTAACATTTGGTTATTCTTTTCCGACAGCTATATTAATATGAGTTATAGGATTTCGGGGACCAACGAAGTTTTCTTGTGTTACTGCAGACTACCAGCTTCATTACTCACGTCACGTCAACCTCACAGCAGTGGGAGACAATTCGACGGTTGTCGCAGGGGCATTTTAGCTCGTTGTGATTTCTTTCATTGGGTTGACAATCCGACATATTGTACTATCAATAGTGATCGGGATAGGATAATTTCCTATGATGACAGTTCGGCTGAGGACAGACATAGCCAGAGTTTTAAATTAAATATTTTAATATTTTTTATTGTAATTGTAATTGTATTTTTCTTTATTTTATTTGTTATGATACTCACAATAATTTGAGGACTTTATGTTACATTTGTTGAACTGATTTGCAATGTTTTTTTAGTTCTATTTTATTTATTTCTGCACTCATACAGTTCTGTTGCCATCCACTTAATCAAACAGAGGCAGAATGATCATTTTTTCAACAACAACTATTAGTAAACTGTTCTGAATAAGCTGTCCCAAACAACAAACTAGATTATTATGATAATCTACAGATTGTCAGAATAATTTGCCTATATGAGGATTATAAATAATCAACAACTATCCCAAATAGACCCCAAAACTCACATCTCATATAGCATGTATTGTATCATTACTAATTACTAAAAATATCTCACATAAATCTTGCACACAGAAGATTGAAATCTCTAAACCGTAGTAAGACTGCGAAAATTCCACAAACATCATAACAACCCCACCACTGACAGGATCAAACACAAAAAAAAAAAAAAAAAAAAAAAATCATATTCACATTTTGGATTTAGACTATGTAAATCTTGCCAATAGAACAGATTAATAAATATAGGTTTTAAAGCAAATTTAAGATGAAATTGAGACAACATATTTAAGTTAAATTCTCCTTAAAGCCTTTATCATCCCATAAGAGTACATAAAAACTCTGTTTTACTCTCTAAATTAATGCAACACTCAATGTATTGTGGCACAATATTTGATATTTTTTTAAAGAAAAAAAATAAATTATAAAATAATCATATTTAGAAATTATTTTATAATTTTACTCATTTAACAATTTTTTTTTGGGGGAAACAAAATATTGTTATTTAATTGGGGCATTTACATATCAATCACCCAAATCTTAATTTTTACATACATAATAAGTTGGGTGGTTTAGAGGTAAAAATTGAAATTTAGATTGTTGATATATTAAAATATATGAATTAGATGGTAGATATGTAAATATCCCTTTTTTAATTTACTCCCAATTTTCCATGACTTTCGCACAACGTGAACAATCTTCACAATGCCTCTTTAAAAAAAAATTAATTTGTACAAATAAATAAATAAAAGTTATATACGTGTCGGTCTCTTTACAGATATTTTCAAACGCTATAAGACAGTCAAAAAGAGGAACCTTCGGAGAAGCTGCGAGATTCGGAGCAGAGTCGCCAAGCTCAGGTTGTCCTCGCTCTCCGGAGAATCCCATAGCTTCCATTTTCTTCCAATTCTGCCGAGAATTCTTCGCAGTGAAGCTTGGAGATTCTACGCTTCTCGACTTAGGCTGCATATCGTTTCCTCTGAATTACTCCCTTTCGCTTCTGCTCCAGTGCAGCAGGTTATCGGAGGTTGAAGGGAGGCGGGAAGGGGCCTTTCAACTTTTGGGGCTTTCTTGCTTTCTTTCGATAGGATTTGCTGCTTCGAATGATCGGAA